ACCTTTCCTGAGAAGCATTATTACAGGTGATGAGACTTGGATACACCACATGACCACTGAGACGAAGAGGGATTCAATGATTTGGAAGCACACGTCTTCACCTCCCGCGAAAAAGTTTAAAGTTCAGCCATCGGTGAAGAAACTCATAGCCACGGTTTTCTGGGGTGCTAAGGGTGTTCTGCTTTTTGACATTCTGGAACCAGGACAAACTGTTAATGCTAACAGATACTGCCAGACTCTTGATAAGTTGAGAGAGGTTGTGCGCCGAAAAAGACCAGGCCGGTTGTCCAGCGAGGTCATTTTGCAGCATGACAACGCAATGCTACACAACACAAACGCTACGAAAGACTGGATCCAAAGATTCAGCTGGTAAGTTCTGCCACACGCCCCTCATAGTCCTGACTTGGCCCTGTCAGATTATCACCTTTTCGGACCAATGAAACGCCATATTTCTGGACAGCGATTCACCGACGACGAAGACCTCGTGGAAGCCGTGAAAGATTGGTTGAAATCCCTTTGACGTAAAATTCTTCAGGGTGCGTATCTTCTCCCTGTTCTAGCGAGGGGAACAATACGTCCAGCGGGATGGTGATTACATTGAGAAATAAAGCACATATTGAAGTATGATATGTTACATTTTTATTATAACAGGACACAGATTGTTGCTTTTATGGACCTTTTCCGGTTTTCCGTGGGACAGCCCTCGTATATTGGGTACATTCCTAAGGTTGGGCAATCTGTGTTTGTGAGTGGGGCAATCAGCCTTTTCCAAAGACTTGGCATCTGTGCTCCTTGCGCCAAATACAGCGGCAAATGAAGGATCTGAGACCAGTAGCCTTAACATGTGTTCTTATGAAATGTCTAAAAAATATCTGAGTCGAAAAGGCTACAAACAAACATTAACCTATCCAGGACCGTCTACAATTTGCATTACGCCATGGGATAAGTGTGGAAGACACCATTTATCATTTTTCTCAGCGATGCCTATAGACACTCGGACAAACCAAAAACATACTGTAGGATAATTTTTGTCGATTTTTCTTCAGCCTTTAATACTATCAGCCACTTATCATCTTAACGAAAATTAGAGAAAATAGGTGTAAAAGTCAATTTAGCATCAAAGATGGGGATTTTTCCGACCAACGGAACACAATACGTAAAATTGAAACATTCCTCAACAACACACATTACAACAATTAATACAGGGGCCGCTAAAGGATGTGTTTCAGTAAGAAACTGCGGCCAGTTTTGTATACCTAGAACACGAACGACTGCCAAATTAACAACGTAAAGGCTTATCAAAATTGATTATTAAACTTTTCTGAGTGGTGTGAAATTCATAAGCTGCTTTTAAATGTGAAAAACTAAGAACGTATTGTCGACTTTAAAAAGAAGAAATTGCCCAAGCAGCCATTCAAAGTTAAGAATGAAAACGTCGAGTAAGTGGAATAGTATTAGTATTTGCGAGTTACCATAGACAACAAACTCGACTGGCATGTCCGCACTTCTCTCCTGCATAAAAAAAAAGTAAACGGATTATATTTTCTGAGAAAGCTTATGTATTTTAAGTTGATAGATCATTGCTCTCGGTATTCTATCATTCAATCAAAGAAAGTATGATCAATTTTTGTATGACAGGATGGGTTAGGAACACAAGACATCAAGATAAAGTAAAATCGAATCGATTAATACAGAGAGCATGCAAAATTTCAACATCTACAATCCTTTTCTTCAATGAATTGTGCTAAAAGAAAATAATTTCCATCTATTTGCGCAACGAATGTCTCTTGTTTTCTCAGATTAAAAAATTAATTGGAAAAAATGTTTGTAACAAAGAAGGCGGCAAAAAGTCATCGTTACCATCATCCATTAAACTCCCACCACCTTAATCCTCTTGTCATACCCGTACTTCTCTGACCTTTACAGCAAGCAACATCCGAATATCATTGGGTTACAATCAGACCTCGGATTATGCATCTAGCTTTAAACTATTATTGTTAATCATTACTGTTCATATGTCGGGGGTTTTTTCAGGTCAAATATACACATAACAAATTTAAATGCCACATAGAAAGACCAAGTTACACCTAACAAATCCAAACACACAAATGACGAAATAAAAAGTCCTAATATAACAATAGCAAGTTCAGATGTATACATTGAAATCTCTAATGGAACACATAGGAAATTCAAATGCAACACAGCAATTTCAAACGTACATATGCTTGAACTGGAGACAAAAAGGCGAAAAGTATAAGAGGTGTAACGCGGTAAGGAGTAAAAGGGTTGGGGG